TAATATATTAAATCAGAATATATAAAAATATTTATATATTTCGATTAATTTTTTATAATTAATTATACTTGTTATTACAGAGTTATTTTTATTAAAATAAAATATTAGTCTTAATTTATTTATACTCTTTAATAATTAAATATATATATCTAGTTAATCTGATTTTCTATTCTTGGACTATATTATACTTGTACTATTGTCGCTATTATTCAGACTATCTCAGATTATTTGCTGATTACTAGTAGATTCTAGTAATTAGATAAGTTATACCACAGTAGCTAACTGGCCGCTGAGTCCTTGGACGGATACCCGGGCGTAACACTTGTATTGACTGTATCTTTGTATCGATGGTAGTCTTGTGTCGACAGTAGTTCAGCTATAACCTCTGTCTTACCAAGACTGTAATCTATTGACAACAGCAGTTAAAGAGTGACTGTAGATGCGCGCTCCTACACACAGTTAGCGTACTGATTTAGGACTTGACAACAAAGCCCCGGGTGTAACAATTATATAGATAATTTTAGAATATTCAGGATTATTGATCCCGAATTATATAATCTTTTGATCTTGTACAATACAGAGCTCTGGCTGTATTGCTTACAATATCGATATTTTAACCACTTTTTGGTAGATCTGCTTATAACTTTAGTATAGTAATAATAAAACTATTTTTTATATATACTCTATATATCAATAGAGAAGAAGTGCTGAAAATATAAATTACAGCTATATACAAATAATACTATTAAATATAAGATCATTTATTTTAGTCTGGTAATTAATGATTATTAGAATCCGTAAGATAGATAGTTTAGTACTCTAATATATAATGACCATAAATAAATTTCTAAGTAGATAGAACATAAATTAGTTCAGATATCAATATTTAAAAAAAATATATTATATGTGGAATACAAAGGTGAGCCCCCTGCCTATATGAGTCTGTTATATGACAGCACTATATAGATGGTGGTTAGGCGTATCGAACAGGAAGTTCGATATTTTGGTCTTTTTAGCTTAGTGGTACTGAGCCTAACCGCCACTATTCTAACAGAGTCTTTGCTTACCGGTTATGTTACTTAGTAATATCCTACATTCAGCCTTCTACAATAGTTATTAGTTAGCACTATATACTTATTCATCCAATCTCTATAGGCCGTATAATATACGCAATTGGGTAATTTAAGTAGCTCAAACAATTTATAGAGGTCGCTCACTCTACGAGGAGGTTCCGACTATTAGATAACTCTTCCTAAGGCAAGAGGTCTGAGCTTGCTGAGACAAAAATACATAGGTTAAAAAGGTTAAAAGCCGGCGTAACCGGCTTATCCTGTTTTATAATCATTATTAGCTGGAAAGCACTGTTCCCCGCTTTCAGCCCTGGTTGATCAGTCAATCTAATTAGAATATGCCTTATCCCTTAATACTTTCTGGCCTGCCGACTGAACTAATTTACCCTCAGTATTATAACGATTAAGTGCTCAGATGAACTTCTGTCCCTTGTTTTCGCCCAATGCAGTTATGAGACACTCCGCCGTTTATCCTGCAGCAAATTCCGTGGTTTATGGTATTCCAGCTGCTACTTACTTCACTCGTCCCCCCACACATACTGATGAAAGCTAACAGACAGCGGACGTTGAAAACTGCCATATAGGATGTACCTTCTTTCAGAAGACCGACTGTTACCGCTTCGCATCCAATCCATGTTGTAATGTCTCAGTTTGAAGCCATGTCTCCTTCTCCCCAAAGAGACAGAGATACTCAAGTTGATGCAGTCAACGCTGCGACTGCTTCTGACGACTTCCAGTCGAGTAAGAAAAAACGATCCAATTCTGATGTGGCCGAATATCCCCGAAGCGCGCCACAATAGCTGTATGCTTTTCTCCCCTCTGTTGCCCTTCCTTTGCTATATCACCCTCCATTGCTTTTTCCCTACATGGACATTCATTGATCACGGATAATGGCAAGCGTGATAGTGTCAGATATGCCGCCTGCGGAAAACAAAATGCAATGGGGCGCGCCCAAAATGCCAGCTCTGTACAGATCTAGACACCGACTGCGTCTATAGAGAGCCTGGAATCAAGCTTGATGCCGGTGATAAACTGATCATTGAAAGGCTCAACCGTATCGAGGGACTCCTGCAATCAAGCCTAGCAGCACATTACTCACTACCCTCAACGTCACCAGCAACCAGTAACGATACCAACATTGGTGGTGGTGGTGAAGATGCGCCGGTTAAGACATCCAGCGTGGCTATGATGCCTGGGAAAACGTCTGTTGCTGGGCTCGCCTCTTGGGCTAACCCACCCACGAGTATCTCAACGATGCCAAAGGTACATACTACTCCTGCGTTACATCTGCTACAGTGGCCTTTGATTCGAGGATTGGTGGCTGGCCCCTATGACCCTCATACATTATTGCAACTAGAAATGGCTCGTGAGCCCCTTAAAATGAGAGCCCCTGGGGAGTTGGACTTGACAAATGCAGAAATCTATATCAGGAATTTCTTTCGACGTGTCAATGTTTGGTACGCCTGCGTTAATCCATATACATGGTCTCGGTATTACAAAACTGCCGTGTCACTCAGCCTTCGAGAAGGACCTGAGAGCTGCCTGGTCCTTTTGGTATTGGCTCTTGGATGTGCTAGTCACCATGGGAGTATTTCCTCTGTCTCACTAGACAACGAGGCTCCAGGCCTGTCTTATTTTGCTGCAGCTTGGGACCTTCTCCCTATAATAATGATGCGCAACTCTGTGCCTGCCGCACAGTGTATCATATTGGCATCAGCCTATTTATTCTACCTAGTCAGACCCCTAGAGGCCTGGACTCTTCTGTCAAATGCCAGCCTAAAATTACAGCTACTTTTTGGCAATCCATCTCGTGTTCCTCTTCAGTGGAAGGAACTAAGTGTACGAATCTACTGGAACGCTCTGCTCTACGAAAGCGACTTGCTAGCGGAACTAGATCTACCACATTCAGGGATCGTGCACTTTGAAGAGCTAGTTGATCTTCCTGGAGGGTTCGAGGAGGAAGATGACGAAGATGATCAAGAGGCCGAGGACGAAAATGGTGAAATTTCATCTGAAACTGAGCCTGTTGGTCGCGACGAATTATGGTACTTCCTGGCAGAAATTGCATTGAGGAGATTGCTCAACCGTGTCAGCCACATGGTTTATCAAAAGGATAGCCCATTAACTCTTGGAGCGCTTGGACCTATTGTTTTCGAGCTGGACTACCAACTCTCTCAGTGGTACGAGAGTCTGCCCCAACCTGTTCAGTTTCCTCTTTCCCGTACACCTGTATCAAACTCTGTCCAGACGGCTCTACGGCTTCGATATTTTGCATGCAGGACAATTATCTACCGGCCATATATTTTGGCTGTGTTTGAAAATGAGCAGACATCTTCAGATCCAGTGGTAAAGGAATGCTGCCGGCGGTGCATAGAAGCCACAATACGCCAATTGGAGAATATAACAAGCCACCGCGAAGGTCATCTACCATATCTTTGGCAGGGAGCTCTGTCAATGGTGTCACAAACGCTGTTGATTATGGGGGCTACCATGTCTCCAACGCTTTCTGTCTTGTTGCCCCCTGCAGACCAAGTGGATGGGATGATATCAGAAGTAGTGGCAGAGGTTGAGAGATACGCCCACCTTGCCCCGAGTTTAAAGCTATCAGCAGAAATCATTCGAGATGCAGAAAAACGACGACAAATTTGTTTGAGGTCTACAGGGCATCGAACCTAATCTATCTTCATCATCTGCTTTCTCCCCCTAGGCCCGGGAGCGGCATCTTCCTCAATGTCAACAAGAATTTACGTGCAGGTAAACATGCATTGTATCAAACAAGAGAATAGCATATATACAGCTCAATAATGGATAGATACATGGTCCAGGGCTCACCCCTATGTAACTCTAAACGATAGAAAGGCCGACCAAATTATTACTTGGTGTATCGTAACTTTCATCGTCGCTAACATTGTTTATAGAAGGAGAGAAATGCCGGGCATGGGGTTCGGGGATTATATATAAATAATCAAATCATGTAAAAATGGTTTGTTGAAACGGAAACGCAATCAACTCTCACATTTTTAGATAAGTACCCATTCGCTGCCCCTCTTGATGAACTTATCAATCATCATTGCAATATCATTCAGGGCAAACCGGCAGATATAGAAGCCAAAAAATTCTGCAGCATGACGAGTACTCAACTCCAAGCCAACTAGAGTTGGAGAAGAGTGCTTTAGTCCCGGGTCTTCGACCTGTTGAGCGATTTGATCTGAAACCGCAGAACTAGTTAGCAACGAAGGTCGACATAATGATATGCATGATTGTTGCCTACCTAACACCTGAGCCGCATCACAAAGACGGGCCAACGCGCTCATATAGTTCGCATTCGGTCCATTGAATTGCAGCTGCGTTGTATTGCGCTTAACGGGTTGTGAATTGGGTATCGAAGACATCGGGAGAGAATTGATGATCAGATTATCCCTGCTGGTCTCTTTTACACTAGACTGTGACGTTGTCCCGCCAAATCCAGAATTTTTGGAACGTAGTTTGCGCCAAGAGGTTAAATATGATTTGCTAGCACTGCTAGAAGTTTTCGAAGGCAAAGTATCAACGGTCGCCGTATCGTCTGAACTCTGAGAGGCTTTGAATAATGCCATAGCCCCCTGGACACCAACTTCGCCGCTCAGCTTTTTCGATAGCGAAGACTGAACCTGGTCAAGGACGGTCTCAAGGGACTGCATTTCTTCCAAGACGGCGTCGGCATCGTAAGTATCAACCTTAGCCAGTTTCAGCAACGCCGCCGTCAACAAGTCACAATTTGAGACTTTTTCCTCCACTGCCTTGATTTTGACATTTTTCACACGCCAGACATCACGCGGGACAAAGAGTTTGGTTGTCAAGTAGCCACCACTAGGGTGGGCTATAGTTTGATATATGCATCGCATAAGCCAAAATGGACGCAAGAGAAATGACTCAGGGCAATGTTCTAAGGGAGCAGGCGCATTAGTTGCAGTCGCATTTGGTGATCCGAGATTGGTTGGTGAGTGGATATGGCTGTCGAACAGATACAGTCCCCCACTTGGAAGACCATTAGGAGCAAAGGCTGCGCCAGTTGGGGTGGGCAAAATTGGCCCTGCGGCAATCCCCGCCCCTTTCTGAATATCAAGAAGGGGAAACGCACTGCCGGGAGTATCTGGTGAGTCGATTAGGGTATCGGGCCCTGACACTGACACATTTCTTGCTCGAAATGATTTCGAACCTGAGTTCAATTTCCCTAAGTTATCCGGTGCTGACGGCATTTTCCCTATCGGCCGGGCTGGTGACGGCATTCTTGAGACCCCAAGATTGTTGTCTTCTTCCTGTGTCGTCGGCTTGTCGAGACTGGTATTCGTCCAAGTATCTTCAGTGAACGACCCAATAGATGCGTTCCGTTTGTTCAAACTTACTCCCGAGTGTAAGACGGGAGTAGGACCTAGGGTTTTGCTTGTCTGCATAGGAAAACTTGTTGAAGGTTCGTCTTTAGGGAGGGGTGGGGGTGGCCGAAGGGCTGCAGGCCCTGATTGACCTTGACTAGATATATCCGAGTCTGCTCCCAGGCGAGGTTTCGTTTCGATCTTTAATTCTGTAGTTTTCTGACCGGACATTCTCCGAGCACGTACGCTCGGACCTGGCGTCGGGACAGGGTTTGGTTTGGGCAAAACAGCAGGAGCTTTTGCCTGGGCTGAAAGAGGCTCTGTCGCCTGTTTTGCCATTGCGCCTACTACAGGCAGAGCAGAGTCTTCTACAAGTGGGGGTAACGTTGCTCCGGGGGTTGTTGTGTTGGATACAGCCGAACTTTCCCAAGTCCTGCCGGAAAAGCTGCTAGAATCGGATTGTCGAGGAAGAGCTGACTTTGACTGGAGATCAAAGTTGAAATCGTCCATGATATAACCCCTGGTCATCTCGTCCAATAAACGCTCCTCTTCCTCAGCTTCCTCGTCCAGATAATCCAGGTCAACCCCATAAGAGTGGTCAATTATAGACGGCTGTTGCAAATGTCGCACCTCTCGGCCACGGGCCATTGCCACTTGCACTTCACGCTCAGCTTCCCTTACTTTCTGTTTCGCCAGCTCGATATTTCGACGGGCATTTGCCACAATGTCATCATTATCAATGCCATCATTATACTGTTCGTTTAGCTCAGTTGCTGGCTCAAACCCCTCATCATAAGCAGCCTCAACAGCGGCATCAAGGGCAGCATCAAATTCAGCCTCTGTGCTGTGACTGAAGTGGCGGCTCCCCCCATGTCGTAGATACACAGATGAAACTTTAGAGCGCGTGGAAGCCGGTGAAGACGCTCCAGACTCATCGATTGTATCAAGCCAGGATGTCGACTCGTTCGCATCTTTCGCATGGGTACTCAGTAAAGCCCAGTCATTATATCGAAGGTGATGCGCCGAATCATCATCTAGGCTCGTTGTCCTAGAGGCCTGCCCAGACCCAGAGTGCATCGCTGTTTCTAGATGTTCATCCCGAGTTGGTCTAAAGGATTCGGTCTGAGAAAGAACATTCTGCTTAGTGGCGGGCGGTGATAGGGTCAGGTAGTGTAGATCACCATCTATTGCAGAAGGCAATAACGACTGGCACCTCTCTGGGACTCTATTAGAGGCTAATACCCTTGCTTCGTCTCGCACTGGCCGGTGATTGTCAGAGCTGCGCTGCAAAAAATTTCCGCTTTCGTTAAGCGATTCCTCATTCTCATCCTCTTCGATGGACTGAAACATTTCACTGTAAGACTCCTGGCTGAGGGGTCGTTCTGGAAGAGCTTTGCTGTTGGGTTCTGTAAATGAGAAATCCATCCGCTGCAATTCCGTTACACGAATCATGTATGTGTCACGCTAGGAAATTTAGTCCCTGTGTATAAAGAGTGGAAAGGCCAAAAAAAGACACGAAAGAAAGAAGGAAAGAAAGAAAGAAGAAAGAAAAGAAGGGAAATACATCGCTGAAGAAAGACTCACAATTTCCTGCAGTTTTGACTTTTCGTCCTCACCTCCGCTGCTTCTAAGCATAACATGTTGCAGTAGCTGACAGGCATCATTGTAGGCTTCCATTGCGCCTTCGAAATTTGCCGCGTTGTCAAGAAGCACTGCAGTGTTAGCTTTCTGTAAAGCTTTAGACAGCATTGCCTTTTGGGAATGGCCTCGTCGCCGCTTCCCATGAATATGTTCTCTGCCAGTAAAGATTTGGGAACTCCGGTTGGCTGCTTGCGCATCAGTACCTGATCTCGACCATGGATTTTGGAAAAGGCTAGCAGCAATCGATGTGGAGCCGTGGTCCTGATGCGATGGAGCAGAATCTATAGCATCTGTCGAGAAGGTCGGTATATCACTGTGATCTGCAAGTTCGAGGACTTGCATGTAGTGGCCCATGCTAATCGAGTGCGGAGACCGAGGCCCTTGTAATGGACTTTCATCGTTCGTCGGTGCGGCAACCCGAGGAGGGAGGCGTGGGATAGTGTTCCTCTCCGGACTTGCGTGGCCTTTGGGAGAGGTGTAATCATCGTAGGTGGATGCTTTAGAAGGGATCGTCCGATGGTAGCTATCATGTATGGGCGAGCCCTTGCTGGATGACGTTGACTGAGACCAGCGATTCAAACTGCCAAGGCCTTCTTGGATATGGTCACCTGGGCTAGTTGAAGGGGAGCCCATAACCAGCTCTGAGACAAGCTCAGGCCTTGTCGGTGTTACTGCTCCAAGTCTAGAAGTAAGCTCGGTGGTATCAGAGCCTTTCTTTTTAAATCTATTCCAAGAATTGGCTCGGGATAAACGTGGAGCTGCTGTGTCTGCGGTGAACATGTCTCCTGGTGACATGGGTCTAGACTGACATCCATGTCCTTCCGAAGCCGAATTATTGGCCATGCTTACAAGGACCAGGCAACAATGCCGTGTCAACAACACAACAGCAGAAACGGACAGATTCCACAGCGGAAAGTGGGATGATATATGAACTGATAGAGGTTGAGTGAGAGGATGTCTTTTAAAATGACACGACGTGTGGTGTATTGCGTTTTCGGTTCGCCGTCGTAGACGTCGCTCTTGGTGATTAGTGTATGACAGCCACTTCCAGATGATAACGATCAAAGCGAAACGGACGGATCTTCCTGGATCCAAGAGGTCTGCAGTTTATAGGATTGGAGTGCGCCGCGGATATGGGGGACGTCGCAAATATGTGTGTGGTCGGCGTATTGCTCATCCTCTTCGAACTCTGGAAGCTGGTATGTGAGGGCTACTCTGTAGCCTTGAAAGATTCCGCATGAAATAAGTGTAAGCCGACTCCTCTAGCTCCCCTATTAGTATATACTTGCTTCAACGCATGGCCCGTTACTCTGGCGCAATTGTTTCGTAAAGGGCATAATTATCTCTTAAATCGTCATTAGTCGCTACACATCGTAATCGAAGTTCCGCTGCGCGATCTTTTCGAGAAAAAGAAAACTGATCGCTATTTCAGGTAGTAAACAGTTATGAGATGAGGGCTCTAGGAGCTGCCCCGTCGAATTGCCGTCAATGTGGCTTTCCCCTGTAAATGGAAGTGAGGATGTGGTAACTTGAGTCAATCGCTAAGAGTTTATTAATGAAACGGATCTTAAGAATTCAATTACTGGGGAACAGTAAATTAAGCAAATAATGGTTATGAGAGGACTAATGACAGTATCTCATTGGCATCTTTACATTGGAGAGTGGTCCGTGGGCAGGGTAACACGTACCGATCTGAAGTAATATTCTTCCTGCTGACGAAACGGAGACGGAGGAACTAATGTGGGGTTAAATTGATTTGAATTCCTTTTGTCAAAGATGCTGGATGTGACCAGTTGATGGTATAGCAGCACCATAGATCCGATAACAAAATTTCGAGGAGAGAAAATTAGCCGACGAAACTGAGGTGCAAATAACGTAAAATGTTTGAGACCTGTAGATGAGAAGCCTCGAGAGAAAAAAGGGGATTGATCCCGGAGTGGTTTTCTTTTCTAGACCGGGAAAAAAGGGGCCGTTAGGTACTTACGGAGTACAGTACTAAATGTACATACCTTCTAACTTCCCCGAATGCCTAGAAGGTAATACTACTAGTATCATTATGCTCCGTGTGGGCCCCATTAACTAGATAGATATATACCTTTCCTGGGCCCCTCCAAAACATTCCAGAAATAGCTACGGCTTTCTAAGACAGAGAGCTCTCTACGGAGTAACCAAACCGGCCAATGTGCTCTAGAAATGGTAGGTGTATGAGAACAACGGTACGGAGGAAAAAGATAGCCAACCAATAAAAAGAACCCTGTAGTCCAATGGGACTTGGGATGGACACCAGTCTTCTGAAAGGGATACTAGTTGGCCCTGGGTTGCACTAAGTTTATACACTGTAATCACCTTTTTAACTACTCATACATTTCAGTTTCACATAGTACTCTGATATTGTCGAGATGCCATTTCTTTTTATCCTTTGTTTTGCTTCTTTCTTGTCCTTAGACCTCTGCATTGATACAAAGGTGGGGAGTGCGGAGTAACAGTGTCTTGTATATATATATCTGAGAGATAATTTGTTGTCTGTCCTCTTCTTCCTATTGAGTCTCGTGCTTCTTTCCTTCCCATGATAAGAGTCTGACGTACTGCGGCGAAAAGAGGTTTACACAAAAACATGGCAATAAGGTATATGGATTTAAGTAGTATTGTATATACCATGACCAACATACTAAGTAATCTGTACGTAAAACCGATAAACACTGGTATGGATATTCGCGTAGCCATGCCCTACAGTCTGTGACCATGAGATTTTTGAAGTGGGTCCATGTTTCTATAATATTGTATTATGTCTTTTAATTTCACACCACTTGAGAGAAATGGTCCTTATTGGCCCCCCACACCATAGAGTTATATCAACCAATAAACAGCTAGGTTAAAGGGCGGAAGGAAAGTGCAGAACATATTTTACAGAATATAGACCACTGGCCCACTTCCAAAATCTCGTGGCCAGAGATTGTAAAGAAAGATAGTGTTACCTACGAGGTATCCTCAATCCTGGGCGACCATTGCTGCTATCTTTATGGTCGTGGTAATTACATTTGACTACTATGGTTTAGTTATGGTTTAGTACCATCCCCAGACCATTCGTTTAGCATAGGCATCAGAGGGATGTATCGATATTGAATAAGAACTAGTAGATTCCTCGCCTCTACGTTGCACAACGCAATGTTTTTAAGTGGTTTGCGGATTCCGTGAGTTCTGATGAGCTCCGGACGATATGAGAGTTCTTGGAGTCATTTTGCACTACCGGTACCTCCAGAATACGTTAAAAGGAAGAGGAGACATCAGCACCCAATATTGCCATTGAGGCATGGTTTATAAGCTGCTGTCTCCTTCAGCAGATCGGTACTTGTAACATATCACCACCTTCACAGCCAGTGTGCACTCTCCAAGAGGCGTTCGTAACATCTCCTTCAGGCTCACAGATCGCAACATTTCTAGAAGTGAATTGATAGATACCTAGAGAATCAGAAATATATACTAAAACACAATTGCGGTAACGAATGGTTTGCTGGAACGACAAGACAAATACTAGCTCTTACAGCGACCAAGGGTTGTCAAGATTGTCCAAAATCGGAATTCAGCCCTGGCACTAGGCATTTGAGCGATTCAGGATTCCGAAGGTCTGAAGTGGGCGAGAAAGCTCTTCTGGGGAATTTCTCTGGGGATGCATGCCTATATACCTCTTATGAAGCTCTCGCTAGTACAATAGCACCAAAGCGGGCTGTGGCCGTATCGGTTTCCTATCACCTACCACAAGTAGCATCATGATGTGCCGGTACATGTTTGACTCTTAATACCCAAAGCCTATACTATGTTGAATTTATCCATACCTGCCTTTCTCGCAGCATTCTATGCCTTCAAATCGTTCGGATTACCCGCAAGGCAACTCGTATTTAGTTATAATTTAGGCCTAGGCCATGTTATTTATGATTTATGATAATCTTACAAATCTCTCCCGTTAAACCTCCACAAACTCACTTCCAGTCCATGACACCACACATCTTGCAACGGTGTTTATATTTAACAAATGGAGGCTGAATAGTCACATTTCATCTTGACTCATAAAATGTCAATGGGTATGTACGAGTTCCAAATATCTAACTAGACCAGACAATAGATCATTCGGTGACTTGTAAGAAAATCTATGCACGATAAAGACGGGGCGCACATGAATTCTGGCATAGCGGGTTAATCACGGTATGTTATTGGCATGAGAAACAAAAGCATGTTAAGAAATTGCAATGTATCAAGGCTGTTCGCATGACATTAATGCAGAGTAAAGGTTGGAAGTCACCTAGCAGACCATATCCTCGATTTATGGGACCAGTGCGCCTGAATTACAGTGAATAGGTGAATAGGCTATTTTGTAGACACCTTTCACTTGGAAAACTACTCCTCACTCTCATCCTCCTCACTTGTCGCTTCAATGTTTTTTCGTGGCAGTTGCGAGACTCCAAGCCCACCATCACCACCACTATCAGAAGCTTCACTATGATCTTCATTTGGGATATTTTGTCCGCCAGTATAATCTGGTCGTGGAACAGACACTCCAAGCTCCTTCAGTGTAAGCTCAATATCAGGTAATAAAGTGAGAAGGGAGGCAAATTGGTCGATTGGCAACGAAATGCCCTATATGAATCATCAGCAGGACATGACAAAAGTATGAGCAAGATGGCTACAGAGGGACCAACTTTCTTGCCGGGAAGCTCTTGGCCATCTTTCTCGTAGTATTCCCTAATATTAACCAGAGTCTTTCCTCGAAATGAGGAAATGGTGACACGGCGCATCTTTGATATTTCCCAGTATCGATCCCCATTTGCATCAATATTTCCAGTAACGCCCGTATGACGTTTGTCAGAGTCGCAAGCAGCGGAGCTTCTGCTTGAAGTAAACTTGGTTCTTTTTAACTGGGGATGTTCATCGTTTACAATTTCACCAGCACCGGACGCGCGCTTTCTAACTCTGGAAGCCATGGCATGCACTGTTTTCAAAAGCAATTGAGATGCGTATAGTAGGCAGAGAAAGCCCGTGTTGATCTTTGGTAAATTAGTCACCGTCAGCAAAGTTGATGTAGAGATTGATGTAGAGCTACGGAGACTATTACAAAATACAGGACGGAGCTCTTATCTTGTGTTATCATCACGTGATTTACTGCTAGAAGCTTGCTAGAAATAATCCTTCTAGCTACTATTGCCACATAAGTCAGAAAAGACCATTATGACTGCTTTCTAAACAGACCAGAACATATATGGGCTATAGGATCACAAGGTAACTTGTACCTAAACAGCACTCATTCCAGGTCGTAGTAGGAAGGGCACATTAAAAAATGACGGACCTCAATGCCTGTATGAGAACAGAAAACACAAGCCCTCGCGCAATGATAGGGACCTGGAGACTATCGAATACCTTCTCGAGAGCTTCACGACTGGCAGCTGCTCCCATTACACTTGTCAAGGCCTGTGGCAGCCCTTTCTGCACGAAAGCTTTTCGTGCAGTCTCTCTTAGACGCTCTTTTTCGGCATCGTCAGGTGCTGAAGGCCAAGACTTCAATTCAGCTTCTGTTGGGAGGACGTTCTCACGAAGTTTGGTGATATACAAACCAAGCGCTTCATCAGATATGTTGGACTCAATCATGGATTCTTGCAATAAGCTGCGAATCGTCTCTATATTTAGATTCCCAGGGCGTAATATGTATGACTTTGCCGCATTCAACAGAGTCCGGCGTATATTCCAGACAGTGTATATAATTCATTTATCACTGCAAAAATAAGTTCCACGGCTATCCGGGTTTCTTCTTGAGTGATAGGGCTGCCTCGGCTGTCTGAACTATATTGTGCAGTAGTATTCGCCCACTCCTCTATTTGGGTATGGGTATCTTCCTCCCTGGGCCCATCCGAAGAGAGTGATAGTCCTAACGAACCACGATGTTTGGAATCCAAGTTAGAGGAAGCAGTAACTCGCTCCGTTTCTGCGGCTGGAGTCTGGCTTGAGCTCTCTGAATTTTCTGCCAGGTTGCCAAGAGGTATGTCCTGACAGGGCTTGGTTCCCTTCACGGCCGTGATACCAGGTACAGTTCCAAACAGTGGGGAACTATGCCTCTGATACCTGGCGGATAGTTGAGTATCGTCCGTTCCACTATCTGGCTCCAGTGAATGTCGTCTCCGATCTTCAGCATCTTCAGACCTGCGCGGATGGGACTCATTTTGCGTAGGGAAATTGATATTATGATTTTGACTATTTGGAATCATATCTGATGAAGTCTTTTTAACAGACGTCACGCGGAATACTCCGTTCATGCCGCCTAAAACGGCCTTGCTGCCGTTAGAAACGCCTTTTGGTGCATTTGCTAAGACGCCTAGAACCCCCTTTCCGACATTTTCAAGGGAAACCTGACTTGGAAAAGAAAATCCAGCCTTTAGGGATGTGCCCGCAGATGCAGGACCAAGACTTCCACCCTTCTCAAAGAACCGCTTCATCCTTTCGCTCTCTGCGAGCAATTCATTTTGAAGGGCATCTTGGAGGTATCGCTCCAAACTCCTCGCCAATGCTTGTTTAGTCTGTCCTTTCCAAGCAGGCAGGACAGGGTGACCGTCTGTGAACTTTTGAACTCCGTTCAATCTCAAAATCGTTTCTAATGTCTCATGGAGTGACTCGAAATCTGTATAGTTCCTGAAAACCATCCATCCTGTGCAGCATGCAGACGCCGGCTCAATCTGGACTAAGTAGTTTGATGTAGGTTTTGATCGCAGCAATGTCTTATCCCCGGGATCTAAGCCATCATCTACCGTTATGGAAGCTCGATGAAGAGTCAGGGTGGCATTTATGTCGTCCTCCGATGCTTGGTTCAACGACAAGGAACTCGCTGAATGTAGCGAGGACGGTGAGGGTCGCCTTGCAGAATTTAGTTCGAAGGCCCTTTCAGATGCAGGCTCATGGATCTTCTGAGTCAGCTTGGCGTTAACATTCCCAAACCCTGGTTGCGTTCTAGTATCATGCTCAACACTTTCCTTTCCATGACAGGGCTGTGAACTGGGATCTTCTCCGCTTGAAAATGCGGTTTGAAAATCATTGTATATCGACTGCTCAGCATTTTGATGCTGCAAGTCTTGTGCTGCGATCATGGCACTTAGTCGCTTGGCTTCCACCATGGCTTCTTCAGTTGCTTTATCTATGTGAGTAGCCTCTGAACCTATTTTCTTTCCATTCAGATGGGTTGGAAGAGGCATATTTACTTGTTTGAAACCCTTGGCTGCGGTTACACCATGAGTTTGCGCCCCCTCAACACTGGCATCGATTGCACTCATGATTTCAGAATCGCCTTCACTAAGAAGATGAATGATCCATCCATTGATGAACTCTGGACGTGACAGACTCGAGATGATGGATTCAAGGACAACACCGGCTAAGATTTCCCGAAGGAAATCCCTTAGAGGAGGCAGCGCGTACGCTTTCGGATCCAAAAAGCTGGCCAGTATATCGTCCGCTATCAAATTGAGTTTCTTATGCTGTTGTTGGCCTGCTAGGACATTTGCCAAACTGCTCTCCGGGGAATATTCTAGGTAACGCTGAATAGTTTGTTCCGGAGTCATGGTGGGCCCAATGGTCTCCATCGCTGTAGACAACTCATTCAGGAATACGATTAACATGGAGGATGAATTTGTGAGAAATTCCAAGAAAGCGTCTGCTGGCCGTTTACGTGAAAGATGTGTTGACACAGAGTTGACAAAGCTGATCAGTGTCCTCCGGCAGGAGAGAGGAAACGTCATCTCGGACGGCAAGATCGGTTCATACCAACAACTTTCTCCTTGGTAAGCTCTTGTCTTATTTAGAAATGTGAGACCTTACTTGACATAGTCCTTGATCACCGCGTCGGTCAGTGATTCCAACGCGGCAGCTGTCTTTGGACGGAAAGAAGTGTAGTCCGGTTCTATTTCAACCACATCATTTGAAAGCTCCTGGAGGTTATCGTTTGATTTAATTCTTGTGGTATTGCGTTTGGACCAATCCAGTAACCTATGAGCTATATCCAATCCCATTTCTCTTCTCCTCTTAAGAAGTCGGCAATGCAGTTCATTTTTTGAGGAATGAGTGCTCGTCCCCTCCCATGACGCATGTAGGGCGATGCCACTGGCTACCCCAATCAGGAGCAGGCCAAGTCTTCCCAGGAGAATATATGTTGCGCTCACCAAGCCAGCAAAGACGCCGAGCAGAACTTCATTGCTAGCAGTAGAAAGGAAACCAATGACAAATCCAACAAGCTCCGCTATATTGGTCCCATGGTTGTTGGCGTTGGCTTGTTGTTCTGCAACACTTGCTTGGTCGGGAAGGTTAGTTTCATTTGGCTGGGAAGGAGCAACGTCGGGAGTGTCCATGGTTATTGACCCCATGAAATGACAGTTCGCCACAGGTGGTAAGCAGAAGGAGTTAAGAATCGCCACTTGTTCATTAATAGTTGCCAGGACCAGGCACGGGTGTGTTTGTTCCCAGTCACTACTCCTATGGTAAGGTCATGATACAGTACGGAGTAGATAGTAGTTGCAGTGGGCAAGCTACTTCGTAGACCCAGTCAGACTAATTAGATACCCGACGGGAATGTACTGGCCCACCCTATTCGTGTGCATAGATTTACCCACACCAGAGGCGAAGTTATTTGCATACGTATATATGTATAGATGTTCTCGGGTACAGATACAGAGGCGTACCCCTAGTTAGGGATGGTAGTTTATGCTGTTGATAACACTATATTCCAGATACATCACAGCAACTTTGTGGTTATATAAGCACTAATCCAACGCTCGAAGTAACGTAACCGGTAAGCGGAAGGCTCATATAGGCGGGGGGCTCACCTCTGTATTCTATACTAAATAGCACATATTTATATAGTAATATCTTAACCAGTTTATATTCTATCTACTTAGGAATTTATTTATAGTCTATTATATATTAAAATATCAGATTTTCTAACTTAGAGACTCTAATAATCTTTCATTACCCAAGTAAAATAAATTATCTTATATTTAATAGTATGTTATATATATATCTATAATTTATATTTTGATTTTTTTTTCTCTACTGATATATATATAGCATAGTTTTATTATTACTCTATTAAAATTATAAATAAATCTATCAAAAAGTGATTGAGATATCAATATATAAAAATGTGCTATTTAGTATGGAATACAGAGGTGAGCCGCCCGCCTACATGAGCCTCCCGCTTACCGGTTACGTTAGTTGTTAGAACTTATTGAAAATGTCTCCATTCGTTATTGCCTTGTTTCACTGCCGAAAAACAAGGTATCTAAAGCAATAGAGTGGAATTATTATCCGCCATCCGAGTGAATCCAGGCATTCAAAGTACGTGTGTTTCATGCCAGATGTAAAGATGATGGCGTTACTAATAAGATCAATCAGGGAACTATAGAGTTTTTGTTTCCATATCTGCTTTCTTCGAGGCCACCTGGCCCTTGTGGATCTTCAAGCCTGCGATGTTTATATGACCTGGCGCATCCCCACAAAGGTGAGTTCATCGTGTTTTAATATATTTTGTATGGGTTCCATGTGCAACAATTGTTCTCTGCCCAGTCTCAGTCCTTTTAGAAATAGTAATTGATGTGAAAGCCAGTGACTTCCCCACTTTATTAGCCCGACCTTCGATCTCCAGCCAGTCCCCAGTAGTCGCCGTAGAAAGGTAATTGACATGAATATCTGTGCTCAATCCCGTAGAGTCGAGGCCACAGGAAGCGATTGCCAATCCGCCTGCCCAATCAGTGACACAGGCCGAGAAAACACCATGCAAAGTACCCTTTGAATTAAGGTGATGAGAAGCAACTTGAATCCGGGAGTGAAACACGCCTTTTTCAGCGTCGTAGATATCGATGTCATTAAGAAGAAACGCATATATGGGACTAGCGGCTCGGATACGCTCCCAGGCTTTCCGCACTTGTTGTAGCTCTGAGTCCATGCTATATTGTAGTGCGTTGTTCGGCACTTTGCATGCTTCCAAGGAGAAACTGAGAAGGAAACGAAAATGCTCTGCGGGAAGGAAGAGGAGAGCTTTGTTTTGTCGGTGCGGGCCCTCTCAATTAGTATACTACTAGTACTAAGGATTTATACTTGTGTCAGCCGTATTTATGTACTGCACAATACGTAAGGGTGCAGCCGAAAACTGGCCGAAATCTATCCCGAGTATGGTCATATCAATACCAGGAAGGCGTAGGCCTATTACTTTGTGAAACAATTGATTATGACCATGGTAATCAATCCACACATTGCCGAATATCACTGATAGCTATAGTAGAGTTCGCTTAGCATTAGATGCAACAGGTTCCTCAGCAGAGCAGACTACTTGAAAATTCAATCTTGCGGAAACAGTGCAACTTTCATCGAATTAATATTTACATACTTCGGTTTTATAATCACATACAAGTAAAAGCATGTGACAACAGACGCGAACTAGTCTGTGAACATCTACCACATAGATCATAGGTTGTATTGTCCTAGTTCTTTTCCCTTAAAGGCACAGTGAAAACCCACGAAACGTGAAGGCCGTCTCAATCAGGCTTCCCGTGGAGGAATTCTCCTAGACAGCATCTGTGAAAGCATGAAGTGGTTAACGTCCTCATCGGCCCAGTACGTCAAATGGCTGGCGATGCTGGCAATCATGGATATATCAAAAGCCCCTCTAATTTTATGGAGTTAGCGTTCCCATTATGTTAAGGTCTGACAGGTACCACAACGAGTCTTACTCTTGTATGCTATAGTCAACTCGTCCATTCGAATTCAAGGACCTCACTTTTGCATCCTCTGTCCTTAATCTCTTCATACGAATTTCGTTCCCCTGATGCTCAGTAGCGTCATCGCTTGCAGGAGCTGGTGCATTCTTTCCAGGTGCACCCTTGATTTTTTGGAAGCCCTCATAAAGCGTCTCCAAGTCCGAGTCTATAAGAGTAGGATGCCGATCAAGTCTATTTGCGAGATTGGCATCTGTGTTGAACGATGGCTGCGACTGGATGGCAGAGTTTGGCTGAGGAATATCCTCAGCATTAAGGCCAAGACTGCGATTAAGCAAGCTACTCGCGACGCCTGTCGTGAAATTGGTCCACAGAGACCCCACACTTTGGCCTACACGGCTTCCAATTATTGAAAGGCTTTGTCCAGAGGCTGCCCAAAGGCTCTTCTTTACTGACGGCAAAGGCTGTGGCCGGAGCGACGACATTGCCGGTGATATAAGCGGCTCTATGCGATAGCTGATGGGATCAGAAGGATGGAATATATTGTAAAGCTGCTCGCATTTCGGAGAAGAAACGTGGAAATGTTTATCGCCAGGCGCTATTCCTGTGTTAGCTTGACAGGGTGATGGTTCGACAGTTGTGTCTTTTCCATCCACATAGAAAGTGTTCTTAGTTGCTTTAATTCCCGACATGGATCGACCAGCAATCGTTTTCCCTTTCAGCATCTGAAAAAGTGCGATTGGAGAGCCCAAGCAAAACAGTTCCTTGCACTCGAACTCTAGTTGCCCGTCTTGCCAAGTTGCCGGCGAATTACCTTGTTGTCCCACAGCAACAGATGGTCCCTGCGAACCACCTGTGGATTTTTCACGACACAGGATATCAAAGAGAATGGCACTGCCGAGTGAATGCCCACAGAGACTCACTGATCCCCTAAAAGAGGGGTTCCTCTTTTTAAATATCTTGAGAATCCGGTTGCATTCCTGCTTAACTATGGTCGATATGTGCTCGCAGTACGCACTCTGGTATAAAAGCACATCCATTGCTAAATCAGATATTAAATTTCGAACCGCGGGTACGCTATCGAGTGTAATATCAGCTAAGCCGGGGTAGGGGTCATCTTCGAAAACGTCTGCGTCTGCAAGATCAAGCTCTTTGCGATTTTGGCTCACCCCTCGGTAGGGAAAATCAAGGAGGTGCCTCCAACATCTAGCCTAGATTAGCGAAGGCTTAACAGCGTGACTCAATTTCTCGGGCCTTCTTCCCCTTCTCCCTCGAAAGGAGCCCACTAGAGGGCCGGGGGATCAGTGCATCAACTTGACGGATTAAATCCACATGGAATCACTTACACTGGAAGTACTTGGACACGACAATTCTCATGCTTGTCCCCAAATGCGGAGTTGAGGGCCTGAAGATCAGGAGACACCTTGTACACATTTTTCATGGTCTTCCGTAGGACATTCACATCGTGAATGAAGTTGATACTCTCTAGCCGTAGACCAAGTCGCTGCCCAATCCCGTGAGTAACAAGAACTAGATGATCAATTTCTCGGTCTCTATCATTACCATAGGCCTGTCTCGAATCCTCCATTTCCTTCTCTTCTTGTCTACGAGCCTGTTCTTCGATCTCAGCCACATTCTGCGGTTCGCTAGCAAGAGATGACATCTGCCGTTCGAGAGTTGATCTCTGGTTTATCCCAGGGGTGGTGCTGTTCTCAAAATTGGACTCCGTCACTCCAGGCTTCATGCCATCTAGTCCACGGTTATCCTGATGATCTGAACGGCGTGCTTCAGAAGTAGAGGACGAGCCCTGGTTTAGTTTTCGATTAGGGTTTCTCGAATCAGGCGCTTCCTTTTGTCTTTTTGTCTCAGAGAAACCGCGCACTAATCGTGTACCTGGTACCCCACCCAGCTTCTGGTATACCGTGGTGCTCACACGGGACAGAAAGTCATCGTTTATCAGTAATGCTGACGAGGAATCCTGATATGTCACTAAGCTATTCATGTAGGCGCCAAACAGGCGATAAGTGTGGAGTCCATTTGCAGGTACATAGGCCGTATGCCCGGCATTTTCAGTACGATCGCGCAAGGTGCTGGGCTCTAAGGGCAGCGTGAGTTTATGCCTTTGCGCCTTTGAAAAGGGATCATGAGTGCACAGGCCTTAGGACGACCCTAAATGTCAAGATTACGAACCTTCGACTTCTTCAAAGCGCCACGGTTTAATTTTAAGATAGCCCTCCTCAAGTTGAGTGGCAAGGTTCTCTTCACATGGCTTGATCGTGGAGCCGTCCTGGACAAACCATGTTCCACGACGAACTTCGTATATGGGGCCTATCCAATATGCCGGACTGAGCTCCCTTCGCTCTACATCCACATCGAAAAGATAGTCCTCATTAACAGGTACCTTTATGATTTCCTGGGCCGCGCCAGTGGCCTCGTCAGGTCGATTCCCACCTTTTCCGCCCTCGACATCGGCTATATTTTGAAATGCTATTTCAATGGCCTGGGAATCCTTGACTGAAAATGGGACGAACTTCTTGGGGGGCGGAAGAGGTTTTGAGGGATCCCTCTTTTGCTCCGATAGCGCCGGTTTCCATTTTGGGGAGTCCACAGCATAGAACCACCTTGCCCGCAACGAAGGGCAGTCTTTGGGATAACGCTGTGGACTAAGGCGATGCCTGTGAGTGACTGTATGGTCTTGACCTTGAGAGCGTTGCAGGGTGTCTGGTGTGTCATTACAGCCACTGACGGGTTGAGGCGTCGTACTCCTCGAGACATTCCAAGGAGAAATCGTCCCCAGGAATGTCCCTCCCTGGTTATCCTTTGACATTGAGCTCTGAAGAGCCCGAAGAGTTGAAGTGCGAGCCAATTCGACGAAACTACTGCCCGTTGCCAAATGAGAACGAGGCCAAGAGGGAACAATTGACCGGCGAGGGAACACAGGGAGGTTGAATTTGAAATATGATTAATAAGTCTAAGCGTGGTCAATGAAAATGTATCCAGGAATTAACACTCTGAATTAGTCCGGGATCAGAACCTGCAGATCTGATTCCTCTTAGCTTTTCTTTTTTTTTCCTTCCCCCTCCTTCATTTGAAGGGCAAAGTTCGAATTATGCAGTAATATATAACATATGAGTGCGTAACTAGGCTGTCAGAATTCTAGCACCAAGGGAACTACAAAAGAAGAAAAAGAAAAAGAAAAAAAAAAACAGAAAGAGGAATAGCTGTGGGGCACTGAGTAACTGGTAATGGTCTGGTTTTAATCAAATCTTTGATATACTGACTTTTGAGGCAACGTGTCGTGACCAGAAAAAGCCCCAGGAGCGAAGAAAAAACCTTAGAGAAGATGAAAGGCTATAGGAGAGGATTTTTTTTGGGGGGGGGGGATAAGAAGGAAAAGAAAAAGTAAGAAACCGAAGAACGGGGAAGGAACGGAAAATATATACCAGTTAATATTGGTAGTATATATGTATGTACATAAGTACATTTGTGTAGTACCCCCTCTGAGAATAGTAAGTAAATGATGGTGTATATATAATATGTAGTAGGTATAGTAGTACTAGGTGAGGTATAGCATACTAGAGATGGGTTAGACCAGTAAGAAGCCCCCAGCGATAGAAATGATTTAGGTCGACATCATAATGCGTCATCACCAATATCAAAAAGACTAGTATGAACCACTCATCTATGTGTTCAATAGTCCAGTGGACTATTTGTAAGTTAACGAAAGGAGTGACTTTCACAATTTCAATGAAGTAGAATAAATCAAACTATACAAGTAAACTAAATCTCATAGTTTTCTTGAGTAGCTTCTATACCTCATATACTAAAGAAATCTGTCGGCTCAGCTGGTCCCCGCGTCATCGCCACTCTCCTAGCGCCCAAAAACCCCACTCCGCTTTCCACCAAATCCCACTCCGTCATCCAGGGGAAACCAGCGCAAACCATCTCAAGTGCAGTCCTAGGCTACCGAATTACGGATAGTGCCTACTTCGGTTTGCCTTGCCGTCATTCTTCAATTGACAACCTCCCCTTGAAATATCCGAAGATATTATCACCTTTTGTCATCGTTGGCTATCACTTGCTGACCTCGTAGCCTGTGTCTTTCCACCGCACAACATACAAACCGCTCCGTTGGTTTTCGGCCGGCGTGGCGAGAAAGAAAGGCAATAATGAACGTCCTCAAGCTTCAAAGGTTTGTGTTTCTCTCTCTCTCTTTTCCCGGTATTTTCTGGACTTTTTATGCAGGATGTCTATCTTTTTACTACCCAACTTACTGAGCAATGGGTCTTACTCTGATGGTCATCTCTGTAGGAAGTTCCCGCAGTTCGATCAGGGCGAAATCTTCTCTCTTCAAGATGCTTTTAGAAAGTTAGATGTTGATGATAAAGGCTACTTGGATGAAGCGACCGTGATCAAAGCTACTCAACAAGCAGAGCGCCAGCCATATGACATCGTACGGCAGGCGCTAAAGGAAGTTGAGCTGGATAGCTCTCGACGGGTAGAACTTGAAGACTATGTGGATGTTAGTATTTCCGTTTCGAGCCGATGTTTTTTATTTTCACGATAGAGAAACTAAGACAGAGGAACAGCTTATCTCCAAGCTGCGTTCTACCTCGGGGCAAAGCGGGCTCGCCGGCACTGCAGGTCCCGCCGCGGTAGTAGCTGGTAATGGCGCCGGCTCATCTCGCCATGTCTCGAAAGGCAGCATAGGAGGAAGAATTCACGTCCAGGGTTCATCGGCAAATGTAACTCATACTATCAATGAGGATGAAAGGACCGAGTTCACGAGACACATCAATGCCGTTCTTGCTGGGGACCCGGACGTGGTCACTTCCTGCCGTTTGCCACCGACACGTTCGAGATGTTCGATAAATGTAAAGACGGGTTGGTTCTAGCAAAATTGATCAATGACAGCGTCCCAGATACGATTGATGAGCGTGTCTTGAACAAGCCGGGAAAGAAAATCAAGGAGTTGAACGCATTCCACATGTCCGAGAATAACAACATAGTGATCAACTCGGCTAAGGGCATTGGCTGCTCAGTTGTGAATATTGGAAGTGGTGATATAATAGAAGTGCGCGAACATCTCATCCTTGGCCTGATCTGGCAGATCATTCGCCGAGGTCTTTTGGGGAAAATCGACATCAAACTTCACCCTGAGCTTTATAGACTTCTTGAAGAAGATGAAACCTTGGAGCAATTTCTACGTTTGCCTCCTGAACAGATATTGTTGCGTTGGTTCAATTATCATCTAAGAAATGCAAAATGGAACAGACAGTATGTTGCCATCCTGTGTTTTCTAGGGATAATATCAGGGGTGCATAGATATTTACTGATCAATACTGCAGGGTGACGAACTTTTCAACCGATGTGAAAGATGGTGAAAATTATACAGTTCTTCTCAACCAACTGGCACCCGATGCTTGTTCACAAGGCCCCTTACAAACCCAAGACTTGCTTCAGCGTGCTGAGCAGGTTCTAGCTAATGCGGATAAACTTGGTTGTCGAAAGTTCTTGACCCCAACCTCACTCATTGCTGGGAACCCCAAACTTAACCTTGCCTTTGTGGCCAATTTATTTAACACAATTCCAGGTCTCGACCCTATCACTGAAGAAGAGAAGCTCGAAGTTGAAGACTTCGATGCTGAGGGAGAACGTGAAGCTAGGGTCTTTACGCTCTGGTTAAATTCACTGGATGTCCAACCAGCTGTTAACTCTCTTTTTGATGACCTTCGGGATGGCACTATTCTCCTCCAGGCATATGATAAAGTAATTCCCGGAAGTGTTAATTGGAGGCATGTCAACAGACCACCAACCTCTGGTGGTGAAATGATGCGTTTCAAAGCGGTTGAAAATACGAACTATGCCACCGAGCTTGGAAAGAATATCGGCTTTTCTCTTGTTGGTGTTCAGGGGGCTGATATCACTGATGGGCAGCGTACTCTTACACTAGGGCTAGTGTGGCAATTAATGCGGAAAGATATCACAAATACACTGTCTAGCTTGGCGCAGCGGATGGGTAAACGTGAGATCACGGACTCGGAGATGATCCGGTGGGCAAATGACATGTCCCGCAGAGGCGGCAGGACTTCATCGATACGCAGTTTCAAAGATCAGTCAATCGGCTCAGGAATCTTCCTCCTTGACGTGCTTAACGGCATGAAGAGTAGCTACGTGGACTATGAGATTGTAACTCCAGGCCGCAGTGACGAAGAAGCATACTTAAATGCCAAATTGAGCATCAGTATAGCAAGAAAGCTAGGTGCAACGATCTGGTTGGTTCCTGAGGATATTTGCCAGGTCCGCTCTCGTTTAGTGACTACGTTCATCGGTGAGCTTGCTTTTACGAAACTGATTTTGAGTCAATGTAAAAAGCTAACTTTTGTGAACAAGGCTCCCTTATGGCTACATATGAGAAGATGCAATAAGCTCATCATGAGAGTTATATTGTGCTATGATGGGGAGTGTGTCAGACTCTATTCAACCCTTCCATTTACTTTCTTTTGATTGGTTCTTGCCTTTCTATGTGTGCGGCTTCAAAGGTCTATTAACCTGGTATAAGTTTTCGGACATGTTTATAGACCCAGGGCCATCGTAAGGACCAGATTTCGAAGAAGACATAACCCTTCCTTGCGTCAATGCTTTAAAAACCTGGCAGTAGTTCCATTTCTTTTCCCTTTATCTCATTTTCTTTCATATATATGGCCTGCAAATATCTTCAGCCACTGGTGAAGTACAAGCAATCTACACAACCACCAGTTAATGAAGGCTAATACATAACGGGCCATAGTTAAACTGGCATTTTTGGTTTTGCGTTCATCCGTAACGTGCTTCTGCTAGATCAATATATTTTGCAAAGCAATTCAGCAATTAAGTTGCGCATAGGCCACCAATAGGTAATAGGGGAGCACATCACCAGGAAGTGCGTCCTACTTTCAAGTTTCCTTACGATCCACGTACTACAGGTATACATATGCTCCGCTCTACATTACAATCGGTTGCCGGAACTCGTAACGACCGGTCGTACAGGACGGTAAAAGGGAATGCTAATCGTCTTCATATTAAACAGCGATTTAGACGCATGACGGACCGCTGCGGATCGTGACGGACAAGAGGACGACATACACTGGCGTAGGCGGGACGGGGGAAGAAACGATCGCTCGGTGGGCGTTCGGTGAAAATTCGAGCCGCTGATAAAGATTTCAACGTAGATTGATCAAGTCAAGGTCCCAATAAGATCGATCCATCACCAGAACACTAGGCCCGAGTCCTCGTCTTTGTTCGTCTTCCATCTCCTCCGGTTTCCCGATAACGAAAAAGAAAAACTGTGGTAAAACGAATTAAGGGCATTAAAGAGGGCTAGGGAAGACGGGGGAGGGGAGGGAGGGGAGGGAGGGGGAACAATATAGCAAAAAGCAGGGAGACGACAGAATCTGATCAAATACCGGTGCAATCTCATGGCATGGAACCACTATGCTTATAATGGCCGAACCATCAATGTAAAGCAAGAGCTGGTAATAGCTCTCCACCTCACGAATTCTTCCTTTTCCTTTCTCTTTCTTTTCTTTCTATTTTCTTTGTCCTCGGCGGCTTAGACCATGACAACCGACAGGGTGCTAGTACCGGTTTTTGAAATGAAGGCAACCTACTCAGCGGTGTCAAGTTCATCATGGGCAGTAGTTAAAGGGTCTAGAAGAACTAGATTGATAAGTAACAATGAGAGAGACTAGGTAAAAGTAAGGGTTATTCAGAAGTTCATACCTTTTCTCTCTTCTCCGTTTGGGCCATTCTCACGCTCATCATCACGGCGCTCACGTTCATCATCACGGCGTTCCCTATCATCCTTGATATCACGCTCTCTCTCATCAGGGCTACGAGAACGGTCACGAGAGCGTTCGCGGTCACGGTCACGGCGATCATAGTCACGGTCACGTCGGTCATAATCCCGGTCGCGGCGATCATAATCACGATCATGTCGGTCGTAATCCCGTTCGTACCTATCATCCCGACGAGGAGAATAATCGCCGCGGCCACGGCGAGGTGACGGTGAACGACCACGACGTGGCGGTGTACGATCACGCCGGCGGTCCCGGCCAGAATCAAACCTCCAAGAAGCAGATGGTGGAGTGCGAGCCCACTTTGTACGCGTTAGATGCTGGTTTCTAACTAGATGACGCGGCACTCACTTCAATTTTCAATAAATCATCACGTCCAATTCGTTTGTTATGCATTTCATGGTATGCATCGTCGGCATCACGACGGCTCTCATACTCCACGAAGGCAAACCTTGATATTGTTAGAAAATAATGTCAAGAAATGGAGCGGGTATGTCACAACACACAATCTGCTGGAAGGGGTACGCGGTGCTGGAATGTCACACCGGACAAGGCGCCCGTAACTAAAGCTAAGTTAGAACAAATATTCGTGGGGTATAAACAGACAGCCAAGATAATATTGCTCAATGACCAAAGACAAAAGTGTATAAACGGGTGATGATGGCTAGCAAAAGTGCCAGGGCCATAATGAGTCTTCGAAGGGAATGTATATCAAGGACACGACGAGTGATGCAACAAGCAAATCTCAGGACAGTAAGGAGGTCCTGCCCCAACGTCGGCATTGCGAGGATCAACCGAGATGTAGATTGCGAGATGGAAACGAGTCGTCTGGTCATAGTAGCGTATAGCAATCGACGAGCGGCACATACCGTTCGAATTCGTAGGCAAGGTCGCGAGCTCGAGTTCCGTGCCCGAAACCGGTGACATAGAGTGTGGTGCCAGGACGAGACATCATGTGAGAAGTCGGATATCTCTTTGTATACACCAGCAATATTATGTTTAAGTTAGAAGATAATGTATTGACACAAGGACAAAACTGGTCTAGCTAACAAGGTTGGGTGGAAATAAGAACAAGAATGGTAAAGGAACAAGAGCAAGTTTCGAACAAGACTACAGGAAAGTGCACATGCCACAAGCGAACTAACTCAGCCACAGTTATGAAAAAGCCCCCTTTAGTTATTAGTCAGTAAGATATGTACATAAATAATAGTATCCATGTGTACGGCCAACTATGATTGATACTAGTAGTGTGTATATGTACCCCACATACATAGCACTATACCTATGTATGTACAACAATAGTACTGTACTCCGGAGCTCCCCATACTGATTTTTTTGTGAAGTACAGTATCCTGGACAACTCTGTACATACTACTTACGCCGTAAGTAGTAAATATTCTGTTCTATGCTATGTTCTATACCATTAATGCATATTTTACATCAGTGATACATCCCAGTGTTGTTGAGTTTCATGCGATGGTATATTGGGTGATGAGTATCTGGGATATCGAAACTCCTTGGGATTCAATATTTTCCCCCAATATATATAGCCATGCATACCTCTTTTTTACTATGTGTTGTGCATATGGCGGGATTTGTTTTTGTTGTAAAATTACCAAAGCATGGGGCTCGGCCCACCCATCCCTGACGCCAAACTACTAATGGCTGAGACTAGCTGCGGTCTTAGGCACGATTTAATGTTCGACAAGCCGCCGCAATGATGCCTCGTTTGGGTCAGCGCGTCTTCGATTAATTTCCCTCTTGATGTTGGAAAGAACCACTCATTAGCCTTGACGAGCATCTTATACATTTCCTTATCTATAATACCCAACTTCTTTTCCAGATGATAATCTAGTTATTACCCAACGATCAACTGTATTATTTGTTACCGCTTCCGCTTCGTGCTCTTTGCAAGCTTCATTCCAATAGTCGGGGCTTCTGGCCATGTCACTCTGATTTTCCAGTTGACCTATGTCTATTTATGGCCTGTGCGACGTCAGCCAGACGAATTTCAAAGGGATTTCCTGCTGTGACTATATCTCAATATAGGTTCAAGTGTTCGCTGATTTCCGTGAGCTCCGACGCTGGCGGCTAGTAAAGAGGAGTCTCAAAAAGCAAGTGAGCCATCAATAAACCTGAATATCAAACTCCAAACCACCTCATTAGGAGCGATTCGTGGTACCGCTGCTGTTTCTGTAAATTGTTCCCTTCAACATGAGTCTGGATCGTCAGGAATCGGTTCGTCACGATGAATCGAAAATCTCAAAGGACAATACTTTGGCCAAGTTAACCCAATTGCCGCCAACTTCCGCTTCAATTAAGGTAGGATGAGGATATTCCAGTTATTAAGAGAAGAATCAAGTTCCATGGCTCACCGAGTTTCTAGGAAGTATCTTCGGGAAACAGCAGCAAACTCGTCAGTGAAATTAAGGGCAAAATTGCGGAACCTGTCGTGGCAGCTTTCATTGCTGGGGGCGTGGCAGGTGCAGTATCCAGAACCATCGTGTCACCACTTGAACGATTAAAAATCCTGCTTCAAATACAGAGTGTTGGCAGGGAAGAGTACAAGCTATCTACATGGAAGGCTCTTGTGAAGATCGGCAAAGAGGAAGGGTGGAGAGGGTTTATGCGGGGCAATGGTACCAATTGCATTCGCATAATCCCTTACTCTGCGGTTCAATTTGGAAGTTACAATTTTTACAAAAGGGTAAGTCATCCAGCACCCTCTGTATTCTATATTATGCTCCCATCTCAGTCATCACTTTTAAGTTGTATGCTTATCTTGCAGTTTAGTTTGCAGAACCAACTCCGGATGCTGAGTTGTCACCGGTACGCCGGCTCATTTGCGGAGGCGCTGCTGGAATTACCTCAGTCACTATAACTTATCCTCTTGACATTGTTCGGACACGCCTTTCTATTCAATCAGCGTCGTTCGCAGCCCTCGGTCAGCGCGATGGCAGCGGGAAGCTACCGGGCATGTTCAGCACTATGGTCTTAATATACAAGACCGAGGGTGGTATCTTGGCGCTCTATCGCGGAATCATTCCTACCGTGGCCGGCGTCGCCCCATATGTAAGTTTTGTGAAGCTCTTGGCACTTTACATTATACTGAGAATTCCAAGGTTGGTTTAAATTTCATGACATATGAATCAGTTCGAAAGTATTTGACTCCCGACGGTGACAAGACGCCTAGTTCACTGCGTAAACTACTAGCGGGCGCTATTTCAGGAGCAGTGGCTCAAACATGTACTTATCCATTGTAAGATTGCTTGCAGACTTCCGACATTCTTGTCACTCCCTCCTTCTCTCCCTCTGTGCGCTAACTGGCCGTTAGCGATGTCCTACGGCGGCGCTTCCAGATCAATACAATGTCTGGAATGGGCTATCAGTATGCATCTGTATGGGACGCCGTGAAAGTCATTGTTGCAGAAGAGGGAACGCGCGGTCTGTTTAAAGGAATCGTCCCCAATCTTCTGAAGGTGGCACCGAGCATGGCGAGTAGTTGGCTCAGCTTTGAGCTAACAAGGGATTTTCTTGTCCAGCTGAATGACAAATGAAATCGTCACGACTCAGGAGGGATATTTCGCCGATCCTAAGTTTCATCTTTCTACGATGGTGTCGCGGCTTGGAGGATTGCCACATGAGCATTGCTTTATACCAGATGTTCTCGATGTGGAAACTAGTTGATGTACCTGGCTATTCTAAGTAAACTTTGCAGGGTACTAGGTTGCTTAGTTTTAGAATGGTCTGAAACATCGTATATGATTATAGGTGTATCTAGCGTTACATTACACGAGTGAGAAAGATTAGGAAGAAATTAAGCAACCCACCAGAAGATAGATTATACCAGTGAATGAGAGTGTGTGTATCTGTTGAAGGCAGGGTTAGTTCTATTTATTAATGGAGCGGAGCCCTCTTTCTTCAATTACTATAGGCCTTCAGTTTTTGCCATTTACAAACCTTAATCCTGGTGCTATTTTACTGGTGCCTGCTACTAGTACTACTAGTAGTAAAATGTATTCATCCAATGATATACACCTCGGCATGCAAGTAAACAGTGGAGCAATGCACTGCAAAAGTTCCAATGCCTTAGTTTTCAGGTGCCCGCAATTTGCCCCCAATACTTCCCGATTTGCTCTAGGCTAGGGCTCAACCCGCACACACCGTCCATCTGAAAATCGTAGATCAAAAACCTCAAGAGTTTCATTTTTGCATACGGGTGCGAGAGCTAGCCAACTCCCAGGTGTCCCATCAGTCTTAGCAGCCATGGGTACGTTTACAATCATATATCACCACATACCATCTCGGCGGAATTATGTTATCGGACACGCTTCGAAAACATTGTTCAGGTTATTCTACGATGTATGAAGCTAACATTCGAGCGCAGGTATCGACTTGGATCGCCACCATGTGCGTAGCAGCCATCGCAAGGCGCCGAAAAGCGAGAATGTCTATCTGCAAGTTTTGGTGAAGCTTTATCGCTTCCTCGCCCGTATGAAGGAGACCATTCCGATGGCATAAAGCGACGGAAAACTGATTAGTGGTCTTGAATAGGTCGCACGGACTCCAACTTCAACAAGGTCGTGCTGCGTCGTCTTTTCATGTCGAGGATCAACCGCCCACCTGTTTCTCTGTCGCGTATCGCTTCCAACGTGACTGACGCGCACAAGGGCAAGACCATCGTCGTCATTGGCTCCGTCACTGACGACAACCGCCTGCTTAACGTTCCAAAGCTGTCTGTGGCTGCCCTGCGCTTTACTGCTACTGCCAGAGCCAGGATCGAGAAGGCCGGTGGAGAGACTTTGACTCTGGATCAACTTGCTCTCCGGGCTCCTACTGGAGCAAACACTCTGCTTCTCCGTGGACCCAAGAACGCTCGTGAGGCCGTCAAGCACTTCGGCTTTGGTCCTCACAGCCACAAGGCGAGTCTCTTTATATAACCATACTTCTAATGAAGAGTGTCTGGACTAATACTCAATAGAAACCCTATGTGCGAAGCAAGGGACGCAAGTTTGAGAGGGCCCGTGGAAGGAGAAGGTCTCGTGGCTTCAAGGTTTAAAGGAGCTTATTACGAAAAATATCTTGTGTCAGGGTCGGAACTGTCATAGCCATGGAAATACTACATGCGCAGAGCTTTGTGATCATGTGCAACTTTTTAGAAATACGGCTAGCTTCCAAAGCTCTTTAGCTGATACGGCAGCGACTCTTACGGATATGAATGAAATTTCAGGTAGAGGAGTTGGAGCTGAATGAAAATTGAAGTTTATACAAACGATAATTTCCGACTCTGGACGAGTTAAACTTGTTAAACTAGTTAACTAAAGTGGTAGGCTTTGATGTTTCCATGTTTTACCCCCTTCAGAATAATCACATGCCCGATGACCATCACCCCGGACCAGATACTTGTAGATGGTTAAGCCATCTAACCCTACAGGTCCCCTGGTATGAATCTTATTTGTGCTGATGCCGACCTCAGTGCCAAATCCGTACCTCATACCATCTGCGAATCTTGTTGATGCATTCCAGAAAACACCAGCGCTGTCAACGCCTTTCATGAACACGTCCGCAATGTCCTTTGACCTTGTCAAAATGATATCAGTATGCTTAGAGGAGTGAGAATTAATGTGAGCGACCGCAACGTCAACCGACGAACTTCCAGGTGGCGTTGAAGCTATCGTTTTCACTGCGAGTATGAGATCCAAAAACTCGGTGCGATAATCCGAATCGATAGCATCCTGGAGCAGATGACTCGGTGCAGCTGGCAAGGTCTTCATTAATGCAGCCTTAGCTGGCGCGTCACAACGAAGAGACACTCCTTTAGAGAACAAGGCATCTGCGATAGTAGGAAACATAGTTTCAAGAACATCTTGGTGTACAAGTAATGTCTCTAGGGAATTGCATGCAGCTGGATAGTCAGTCTTAGAGTCCACAATGACCTTAACTGCGACCTCCGGATCTGCATCGAAATGAAGATATGCGGAACAAAGGCCATCAGCATGTCCGAGAACAGGGATCTTTGTGTTGTCCTTCACAAATCGAACGAGATCATTCGACCCGCGAGGTATGACAAGATCGATTAATGAGTCTTGGGCTAGTAAAGAAGAAATCACATCCCTCGTTTTCACGAGCTGCACTGACGATTTAGGAACCTGGGTACTCGATATGGCGTCTGAAATAACCTGCGAGATAGCAACAAAAGACTCCGTAGATTCCTTGCCGCCTTTCTGACTTTAGTAGGGAACAACAAGCCAAGAGCCTTTTATGGACACATACCTTTGAGAATTGCAGCATTTCCCGACTTAATAGATAAAGCAGCTATATTCGCAATAACTTCGGGGCGCGCCTCAAAGATTATCAGCAGGACACCTATAGGACAGCTCACTCTTTCAAGCACTAGACCGTCATCAAGAAGTGTCCTTAGAGTCACATGTCCAACTTCAATATAGTTAGTAATAGTTACATAATCATTCGATATACCTACTCGGGTCTTGTAAATCTCGAACATCAAGTATGCCCTTCAGCATATCATCGTATTTTCCCGGTCGTGACAAGTCAAGTCTCTTAAGAACGCTTTGGCTTAGATTACCACTTGCAGCGGCCCGACTCGCCATCTCAACATCCCTAGCATTTGCCTCCAATATAGACTCCTTATGTCTTAACAGCGCATCATGTAGTGCCGTCAAAGCTCCATTGCGGTCGGCTTCAGATAAAGTTGCCAGACCTCGAGATGCTAGAGAAGCAGTCCTAGCGATATCAATGGCAGAAGACTCGGTAAGGGACATTTGTGCGGACTTCGATAGAAAGAGGTGTGGGGGTGTATGTGTGTATGTGTGTGTGTCCGTGCCAAAGTTCAAAGTTCAAAAGTTCAAAAGTATCAATGTGTGATAGGACCAAATAGATGATGATTTGAAGGGCTGCAATAATTAAAATTTTTTCTCAACGGATTTGGAGGACGTACAGGCTGGCGCTAGACTGACTCACCCAACTGTGGTGGGGATTACCCCGTAAATTATCAAGAAGAGGGGCGTTGTGACAACATATTAGGCAGGCGGTGTATAGCGTCTCCTGATATGATCATGGAGCCAGTACTCCATACATAGCGTAGTGTTGTAGGCGCGATACGTACTTCCTTCCGCACAAAGTGCTGAATCACCTATTTTCATCAAGTTATCAGGTTTCTACTCTTCTGAGTATTGGGTCTATATCACATTCAAGCTGGCCTTCGCAATCCAGTTTGTTCGTGAGAAATGGCCGAGTTTCTTTCGCAACTCACCTCAGTGTCATCAGGTAGCTCCGATGAAGACCATGACAGGCGGATCCGTGACCTGATCACATACCTTCAACAGCCGAGTAGGGCTTCTGAGCTTTCAGTAGCCAGCGGATATTTACTAGATGTAAGCTGAGGCCTTTTAAACAACTTTTGGGAGGGGCGACATGGGGATCAATGCAATCCTGCTCCCTTCAAGTGCGGGGATTTCGCTAGCTTACAATCGCCATTGCGCCTTTACAGAACCTCGATCCTTATCTACACACTCTGTCCTATTTATCAGTCTTCCTTCTTAAGATCCAGTCCCTCCAGGGCAGTAACAGGAGCCGGCTACCCGAGCAAATTCATCCCGGGCGAGAACTATGGCTCAAGGCTATTCGATTTTTGAGAAGCTTTGATCCTTCTCAAATACGGTATGCTGGTCACGAATGGCGCCGGCTAGTACAGCTTGTGGTCCAAGCTGCGCAGGCTGTCTCCAAGGTAATAGCAAACATTACTTGTTTTGATCATTACGCTGACCTGCTATCGCTCAAAAGCCACTCCTGGCAGTTCTAGCTGTCAGGGATGCCATACTTCGACTTGACCCCTTGTCTGAGGTCCTCACATCGGTTCATACTACGTTTATTAAACTCACCTTGATATCTAGGTCGTATAGCCTTGCTGTGCCAGTTTTGGAGAGACAGGTTTGTCATTTTCCTACTGTTACTGGACAGGCTTATCAGAATTATCACCAGCCTTTCCTTTGTGGGGAACACGAGTCTAGCACGGCGTTTATAACCGATGCTTCTGGATTTTCCAAGCAGCTGACATACAGAGACCATCTGCAATTTTTTCTCTATGGTGCAATGATATACATGGCGCTAAAAAGGTGGGATAGGGCACTTCACTATTTAAGCATAGTGATATCCTGCCCTGTCACAAATGCCGTCAGCAAGATCATGGTAGAAGGGTACAAAAAGTGGCTCTTAGTCAACCTGTTGCGAAGCGGAAAGGTAATCTCCCAGGCGAAGATGCCATCTCTAAAAGTGTGCAGCCTCCCAGCTAACCGGTGTCGTTCTTTGATAGTTGACCGCACCTCCGGATGTTGTCTCTTCACATGTGATCAGAGCATATCAGTCCTTGGTGAAGCCATATACCTCACTGGCCGATGCATTTGTGAAGGGTGATTATCAAAGGTTAAAAGCTGAAGCTGAAGCTGCACAGTCTATTTGGCGTCTAGTAAGTTATAAACCGGAGTTCTTTACTCCTGTGGTGCCTGCCTTCTTGAGGTGCTTATTGATATCTAGGACAATAACACCGGTCTTGTCCACCAAGTAATCAAGACATTCAATAAATGCATGACCCTGAAATTAGGGAGGACATTTTCTGCCCTTACAATGGCAGATGTAACACAACAGGCGTCCGATTGCTCATCTCCGCTCCGTGAAGTTGAGTCGTCTATGGCATCACTTGTAATGTCAGAGGCTTTCAATGCTGTCCTGCTACAATCACATAACCCTGACGACACTACAATGCTTCGATTTTCCAATCCAATGAAGTCTCTCTATTCGCGGGAACTATATGCACGGGGGAAGATAGTGAAAGAGGGTCGGCAATTGGGTTTTGTTGCGCAAAATATTTATCAGTCCAACCATGGGCTGGAGCTGAGTAATGAGCATTTTCTGTTTTCGCAAAAGAGCCTCAGGTGGTCTGACAATTCTGGAAAAAGTCCACTTGACGAGGCGGCCGGTGGGATTGACATTGAAGAAGATATTATGGGTGATATCCATTGAAATACTGAAGCAACAAAATGAGGTGCTTCACACTTTTTACTTGGCCTATTGTAAGGGTACGTACGGTAGTGCCCCCTCCAGTATCATCCTCGTGCAAGGCGAGTTGGTTCAACTACGGAGTAAGCAGTAACTCTAAAAAAAGGCTTTGAAATCCGATTTAAATTATAATATCTCTAACGGTATTATTCTAATTTTTAAATGAATAAAATATTTATAGATTAATCTGTTTTTATCTAGATAGAGTTATTATATATATAATTAAAAAAGATTATTACAGACCCTTGTCTAGTGTGTCTTATAAAAGAAAGCAGACACAGAATGTCAGAGTTATCTACTAATCAGGGTAGAAGACCTGTCAACTAGATAAGGATATGTAGGCAGAATAACAGTAGATAGTCTATTGTATTCGGGATCGTTGATCCCGAATTATTATGACCTTTTGGCCTTGTGGAATAGGGTGCCCTGGCTCTATCTCTTACATCTATCGATAGAAAACTGATTCTTGATTTTTCTACTATTAACTACAGTATTAATTTATAATTACGAATTTCTAAAGCTTTCAGTATATAATAATTAATCTTTAGAGAAAGAATTACTGTATATTATTAAAAAATAATTAATATAGATATTAAAAATACTGTTGTAGCCAATTTTATTGATTGAATAAATGATAATTATATTAATTATAATAGTTAATTTAATAAAAATAAAAGATAAGAGACGCAGTTAACTAAGATCTCAGAACAGTTATAAAGATAGTAAATCTATATCAGTAGAATATTAAAAGTAGAATTAATTATCTAAATATATCTTAA